TTGTGGATTGGTGTCGGACATATGGGTTAATGGGTTAATGTTGGACTTGTGGGCTTGGGCAGCACTGGGTTGGGATGTTTTCTTGATGCACACTTACCCTTTATATAAAACTCTCTCTTATACATGAGTTTCTGTGGGTTTGTTTCTCTACGGCACCAGACTAACACATCCTATCCGTTTCCAACTTTTGCATGGCAATTGCCAGCAATTACCAATCACCTTAATTGCATATTTGATCAATTTCAAACTGAAGACCTTGGTAAAAGTCTCCAAGTTCTGCATCGGTAGCTTTAGTAGGCAGTGCACAAAGGTGATGACAGTTGTATAGAATGGATGTTCTTGTATGCGGATAGATATTATCCTGTCTCAGACAGCATTATATTTCAAAATAGATCTTGAAATGTCCTTTTTGATGATGAAGGCAACACGACTCCTCTTGAATCTATGCTTTCCAGCGTAGTAAACCATACGATTGTCTGATTAAAAACGGCCAGTACCAGTTCAGTTCGGCTTACTAGAGCCTAGTATATCAGTTTTCATGCAGTTCATTTCATTTTCGGGACTTCCGGCTTTCTTGGATTCATATATTCCAAGTTCCCACAAGGAATAGATGCTTACAGCGATCTCCTTATGTTGAGTCCTGCCCCACCAGCAAATTCAACTCCCAAAGACTTGACTCCCGAACGCTCGCTCCGTCCCTGCCATTGTGGCGGCCCCTGCTGTGAGGAGGCACATTGTGAGTGCCTTCCAACTTGAGGGCCATCTCCGGGCGCCCCATCTGACAATGTCCTGTTACTGTTCGCTGAGCTGTCTCACCTGACACTGTTTCCCTGCTAGCCACAAGGTTTTCAGCGGCCAGTTCCTCGACAGTGGAGTCCCTCTTCACGGTCTGTTCTGAGTCTGGAAGCTCGGCCGAGCCCCGTTCACTCTGGGTGCCCCTGCTGGCAGGGGCAATACCAGTGACATCGCTCTCAGCATCCTGGCAACACACACGGCACCACAGCACGACAAGCTGCCCGCCAAGTGGTGGACTCGTTAACGTGGGCAGTGATCATCCCTTTACTTCCATCAAAGCCACCTGGAGCCCTTCCCAGACCCTTGCTAGTGGCAGGCACCCGCTCAACCTCTTCCCTGAGGGCACAGGGAAGCTCTTTCTTCCCGCCCAAATCTTGTGGACTCTGCCTCTCCCCGTCTTACCCCTGCCTCGCAAGGCAAAGTGAACCTACACTGTCAAGGCTACTTCCATTTCCTCAGGGACTTATCTCATCCGTTTTTTGTCTCCTTATTAACTAGTGTGGAGTTGAAGGACTTTGGAAAAGTCTAGTTCTGATGATGGCGGATTAACCATGTGACCTTAGGCAGGTCATCCTGCCTTTCCGAGGCTCCGTGTGACCAGAGTTTCCTAATGGAGTTATCACAGTACTTGACTCAGAATGCTAAGCGTGCTAAATGAGCTTTTGCAGGTAGTGATTAACATTGTTTCCAACACACAGTAAGCAATCAGGGCAACAGCATTCCCTTCTCCACAATTTCAGAAGATGACCTCCCCTCCCACTTTGCAGAGAAAACCCGTGTCAGCTCCAAGAACCTGCTGCTACCTAACCCACAAACTTAACTGCTCCCAGGCTCATCTTGCGAGTCCCCCCCATCCCAGGTAACCCCTCCTCCGTAGCTGGATCCAGCCTCTCCTTCCACTGGAAGACCAGTTTCTCATTCATCCCCTTCCCGACTAACTCCTTACTATTAGCATGCTACTGTGATCAAGTCTCACGTTCTGGAAAATTAGCAGCACAGTACCTCCCCAGCCTGCCTCCTCTCTGGATCCTGAAGGAACTTCTTGTCCAGCTGTGCTATCACCTCAGGGTGCCTGGGCAGTGTGTGTGAGTAAGCACCAGTCCCGGGCTCCGCCATGATGGAGAGCGGGCCTGGCTCTTTTCTCTGAAGGCCAGGAAGCCCTGCTTCACTTGAGGGTAAGGTTGAGGGTGTGGTGTTCCGTATTGGTCCCTCCACTTCCCCCTCTCAGTGCCTGGTGGAGTTTTCTGAGGTTTTTTCACTGCAGATCCCTAATGCCATCATGTTATGAATTGAATTGTTGTCCCCATAAAGATACGTGGAAATTCTAGTACCTGGTACCGGTGACCATGACCTTGTTTGGAAATAGGGCTTTTGAAGATATTATCAGTTAACATGAGGT